TAGAAATGAACATACACGAATGTGAACAATTATTAGTTAGAATGTTAATTATGAACATGATAATTTTGTGAATATGAGTAAAAGTTCGATCGTGAATGGAGATCTATTGATTATCTTTAGAGATCATACATGATATTGATTAATATACGACTCAGCTGTTCAGGAGTTCAATGGCGACACAAATAGCCCATTTTCGATATCATCAAGTGATGAAACTATTCATCTCGATGGGAGAACTGCTGTCTTATGAGTGTAGATGCACCTTACTCATCAGTTTGAACTATTCCCTAGTACAGATTAGAATCTCCATGCTGCTCCCTTCCAATAATCTGGAATGCATATACTCTTCTTTAAAGCTTACTCAACTAAATGTTGTAAACTGTTTAATGTAAGGACTGCTATTACTAGATTTTTCAATTAGAGTTTTGGAGATTTGTGTTTTTTTTTTACACATTTGTTATCATCAATCAGTCATTGTTAGACCACCATTGGAATCCTAGAAGCACTGAAGGACGGCCGTTTCGTCCTGGTATCGGACTCATCACTGGTAGTGCGGATCCACGACTCCCCTAAGCTCTGGACCACTGGGCCGGCATCTAACGGTGTTCATATCTAACTCTGATTGACCAAGGGATTTTGTGCGACCTGACCCATTTGTCTTTGGTAGTTACTGCCTACACCCGACAGGGTTGAACTACATTGGTCATGTCTTCTCACTAGAACTGCGAGAATTTCTTCACGAATCTAGTCACTAATGAGCACATTTTACGATATTTTCAATCAGAGTTATGAAGATTTGTGTTTTTTTACACATTTGAAATCATCAATCAATCATTGTTAGATTATTTGGAATACGCCTTAGAAATCTGAGAAGTTATTCTGGCTAATTTCAAAATCATGACAAGTTTCGACTAACCCTGCTCTTGAATTACCACCTGGATACCACTTGTGCCGCGCTGTAATATCTTATAGTCAATAAAGTCTCCATTTCATCTTGTTAAGTGAATATTTCAACCTGCTCTCATTCGGTTACAATCGTCATTGCTTTTCGAATCGATAGAAAACCTTTACTAGAATTCAAGTTTCTAGCATAAATTCAGTGAAATATAATGTCATTTGAGTCCTTTTTTAGAACACTACCAAAAGCCAATAAGCGTAAACGGTGTAAGGAGATGCAAGCGATTATCATTTCTTGCAGTATATTGTGTGATCAAGACACTGGAAGCCTTTTTCTGTACGCTTTTATTTATTTACTTATCTATTTATCTATTTGATTTGTAGCTCACAACTTATACTATTAAAAGCGGATTTCTCTGTTTAATAAATGATCAGTCTTAGCCTCAATTCATATGCAGCTTGAAGTATTTAAGATACTTAAGACTTCTTGACCAACCTTTATCAGTACTTAACTATCACTTTTAAATTTCATCTTGAATTTCTACGTTACTTAATAAAACTTTGAACTCAGTTTATCGTCTATTGCAAATATATATTTCGTCAGCTACTGCCAAAGATTTTCAATGTCTATGTAAGCCGCCTATCACTATTCTGTCATTTGAACATAATTCATGTATGAGTTTCTTACAGAAATGAATCATTTCAATTCATAACCTATTCATATCATGAAAGCACCAAGAAGGTTATGTTTTTAATCAATATCCTAAGGGTGGGTATTATTATTATTTAATGTGTTCCTGATAAGTGTTCAAGTTCTATTTGAATACTAATCACGAAATGAATAATCTAAACTTTCATACATCATCAGGTTAAATAATTCTACACTGAATGATGAATGGTATATTAACAGGTGATTTGTATCGCTAAATAGAGAATAGGTGTGACAAAGGTGACTCCAATTCAGCACCCGAGAAATAAACAATCTTTAAATGAACTCATATCTAAAATAGGTCATAATGATATTGTTTAGGACGAGATGAATACCTAACAAATAAACCACTGAAACTCGGGGAAAGTAAAACTTACTACTATAATATACTATGTTCTTCAGCTATATCATCAGTTAATTTATTGATTTCACAAATGAAATACACACACACACAGATATTATTGATCAGCTGTTTGTTATCTCACTTCATTCAAGTTTTTTTATTGAACTAAAATTGAAACTGTTATTTAGATGATTATGAATATTACACATTTTTGAAACCATGAATTGATCAATGTTAGACCACCATTAGAAACCTAGAAGCACTGGACGGCCGTTTCGTCCTGGTATGGGACTCACCAGAGGCAGTGCGCATCCACAACTCCTGCACCTAGCAGGAATCCAACCCGAGACCTTCGGTATTGTGCGCGAACGCCTGACCATCGGACCATTGGGCCGTTATCTAACGGTGTTAATGTCTAACTTGATCAATTTACGGAGTTGCGCAACCTCATACACAGTCTTCGGTAGTGGTTACTGTCTACACCCGAACAGGTTGAACTTCACTAGTCACGTCTTCCCACTAGAACTCGGAGAAGATTCCTCGCGAAGCTAGTCACTACTGAGCACAGGTAATTTGCATTATGGAGTTGTGAAGATTGTTAAGTTACACATTTTTGAAACCACTGGTCCGATGGTTAGGCGTTCGCGCACTATACCGAAGGTCCCGAGGTTCTAATCCTGCGAGGTGCAGGAGTCGTGGATGCGCACCGCCGCTGATGAGTCCCATACCAGGATGAGACGGCCGTGTTTCAGTGCTTGCAGGTTTCTAATGGTGGTCTAACTAACAATGATTGATTGATGATTTCAAATGTGTAAAAACACAAACCTCCAAAAATTCTGCCCGAAAATATCTCAATTCATCCAAGTTTATTTATTGAACTAACATTGAAATGATTATTAATGTGGCTATCATTATTGATTAGTGGATGGTGAATAAATTAGCTTACTTCAACAGTTTTATTTTAGTTTTTTTCATTGTATCAATTAAGTAGTGTTGTGGTATCATAACAATCGGTAGAAGATTACAATTATTCCTCAATCACATTAGCAATTCAAGTTATTTCTGTGGAGAAATTCTCAATAAAGCTTACAAATCTCCATGGATTAATTATCAGCAAAGGATGACTACTGTTGAGGAGCTCCACACTAGGACCAGATGGCTGTCTAGTGCTTCTAGGTTTTCAGTGATAGTACAATTTTGACTAGTACAGGATTTCATTTTCAAGGGGGTATTATTTAACCAATGTTCCTGAATGACCTACCGAAGGAAACAATTTCCGAATATTTCTTTTTGGAGAAGTTGTGGGGGAACCTGTTAAATCATGGATGATATTGTCATATTGTATTGGATGCCTTGAACAAGGTAGTAGTATACAAGTGATATGCAGCGGAGTGTCTGTCACCTAAAGCTTGCTACCAGAAAGGAGTGTTTGGAGATCAAAACGTGTGACATGACAAAGTGAAATGTAAGAAAGAAAGACAGCCAATAACTTGCTTGTATTGTAAAATGGATGTTTGAACGAATATATGTAGATATTTTCTGAATCAACCATATCTCCTTCTTACATGCCTTGCCTTCTTCGTACGTCAAAAATAGACAGATATTGAACATTGAATGGTAATTGGCGACCATGATTATCGTTTAAAGTTATGAGTTCAATGATGAAATACAATTTTATTGAATTTGTTCAGCAGATAGTAGAAATCAATTAATTATGGACACATAAAATCTAGAATTTAAATGTCACGGTAATTCCAAAAATTAATTAAATATTGTTCAGTTTCAGTTCACCTTTTTTTCCCGATTAGCTAATTATTATTTCAAATTATCTTTGATACATTTGTAAATAAATAAATTCGAGTATAATTGAAAAAAAACTGAACAATTTTCAATGATAATAATTTTTTTGTTTGAATGCATAAAAACAATGTTGTACGCGCGTTAATTTGATTGGCACATTTATAATAAAGCATATTGTTACATTCATTTATATATATTTACTTGTGTAGTTATTTTGTATTTAAAAGTCTATCTTTTCTTAAAAAATAGTATAGTATAGTATAATAGTAATACAATGAAATCGGAGATTATTTCTAATTGATTACGAATTTCAATTCTCTGTTGTTTTGTTGTTACGATTTACTCTAATATAATCATAACCTACACGTCACTAGCGCTAATTACAAATAAAAGTCTCTTAATCTACATACTCACTTTTCACAGAAATCTCTATACAATGTAATTTATGCTTGTGTATGTGTGTGAGTTAAACGAAGGGAAAGAGAGTTGAGAGAGTGAGTGTGTGTGTGTGTGTCGGTGTAGTGATTAATTTTTGTTACAAACACTCGATTGTTTTTTAAACGCCCCTCTCTTTCAATAAACATATATTCTAAGCTTGTTTATCTGTCATAGGTGTTGTGTACACACACATGGTAGTAAACAATTTGTAGTGTACTGTAGTAAGGCTTGTTAGTTTGTTTTATCTGTTAGTCCCCAATTTGCTATTATGCGCCGCGTATAATAACGAACGCACCAATAATAGACGACGCATCATAGTACAAATTTCTATCATCCATATAGAAGGGGGAGTTTTTCAAGTGTTTTTTTATAAGGGTAGAGAAACAAATTCATTGGGTATTATGTATGTATATAAATATATTTATATATATACATGCAAATATTTTTCTCCATACATTTATTTGTGAGTAACATTCAATACGCATAATCTATAATAAAAAAAAGTATACTATATTCAATAATTTTCAATAAATAAATCGTAACAAACTCTTAGATACAATGTAATCGTTTCAAATTTGTATATCCTGTATTGTATTACGCCACCATCATCATCATCATCATCATTGTAGTATATACGCTTTCTGTTCTGTTCGTTGAAACATTATCACAAAAACAGTACATTTCATTATTTCATTAAAATTGTATCTGATATGACGGCAGACGTCAACTAATAAATAATAAATTATTATTATTTCTCTCTCTGTATTAGGAAAAAAACAAACAAACAAACGAAGAGTAGCGATTTGTTGCATAATGAATGATTACATTTACAACTCGTTACCTGTTGGCACTCAATCATCATTTAAAAATATTCATAATAATAATAATAATAATAATAATAATAATAATAATAACAATTATAATTTCTATACAACGACATACACTACTACTACTACTACTACTACTACTACTACAGCAGTAGTTGATACTACTAAGACGCTCTCAGTCAATAAAAACTTCGACTGTAATAATGTTGTATCCAGTGATCAAAAGGATTATAATAATAATTATTATGATTATGTAACACAATCACAACAATTTGAACCAATTACTTTTTCTTTGTTCAATGTTCAAAAATCAAATGATTCAATTGTCAATAATGATCAATATGATGTGTCTAATGCAGGGAATTCAGTGAATCATAATGATGATGGTAAGGTATCATTGAATCAGCATTGTATTGCACCAACACAATCATGCTTCTTATATTATCAAGGGAAATCTAATAATGAATTGACTAAGGATGTATATAACTCAATGCAAACAAACAATTTGAATGAAATCTATTTAAACTATGCTACTGATAAAAATAATTATAATTCTGTATCATCACTAACAACATCCAGGGAATATCATCAACAGACAATTCCTCCTCTTACCAATACTTCTAATCTTTTAAGTAAATTTATGCATACAACTGATTGTAGTCAGCAGACATTAGTTACAGAATCTTTTGATATAACAACATGTAAAACAGAAAATTCCTTATGTCATCATTCATCAGAAGTATATGATAGATGTATTAATCAATCGATGAAAAATTATCCTAAGAGCAGTAGAGAATTTGTATATTTGAATGAGTAAGTTCAATAATCTTTTCACACTGAACAGAAACTGTTATTTCACTTGTATACTATTTTTAGGATTATATATATATATATGCAGTGCTTCATTGATCAGAATGTATGTAACTCGTAACTGAAACTATTTGATATACATTTGTGTATTCTTATAATTTGCATTCAAATGGCAGATAATACTTTGAAGATTACAGCAATATTACGAATTTTTCAATTAGAGTTATGGAGATTAGTGTTTGTTGCACATATGGAATCATTAATCAACCATTGTTAGTTAGAGCACCATTGTCTTGGTATGGGACTCATCAGCATTGCGCATCCACGACTCCTGCACCTCGCAGTATTAGAACCTGAGACTTTCGGCCTTTTTGCGCGAACGTCTAACCTCTGGACCACTGGGCCAGCATCTAACTGTGTTAATGTCTAACTCTGATTGCTCTACGGATTTTGTGCAACCTCACCCATTTGTCTTCGGTAGTTAGCCCAGTTTCTGATGTGTCAAGGTTGGACTTATCAAGGTAAAAATACTTCGTCGTATTTTAAAAGTGAAACACTCAATCTTTTATGAACTAGCTTATTGTACTCAACTGTATAACCAGTTACATTAGATAACATTCATAATTGATCATTGAATTTTCATTGTACTAGTGTTTATATGATTATGTATGTCCTTAATAAAAAAACAAACAGAATAGTTTGGTTTTCAGAATAAAATTTATTATTATTATTATTATTAGTAGTAGTAGTGTAGTGAAGGAGAACACAGGTGAGGGCAAGCGAATTGCATTTACCTCAAATTACAGAGTCAATTGGTAAAATAGGAAAACCATATCGTAACCGTTAATTTGCAAATCTTCAATCTCTCATATCGAACTGGACTGTTCCTGTTGCAAAACATCAATCCATTGTCACTAATATTCATGCGTTTCATACAAATTCCATTGTGTTCCCACTCTTCCTTTCTTGATCTTCCCTTATCTTCTGCTGCCAGACATTACGTTGACACTCACGTCATATACTAATTATAAGTAGCTCGCACCACAGTAGTAGTAGTAGTAGCCAAATTCTTATTGATATTCACTGATTAATAAGTGTAGATGATGTACATTTCTGTTGAAAATCTTCTGTATTTACATGCATCTCTATTCTAGCTTTTAAATTATAAGATAAATAACTGTTTTTTTTTTTGTTATTTTAATAGAAATTCTCATTTACCACATCAACGATTACCCAGTTCAACTTCTGATCTACATTGCCCTAATTTCAATGATCATTCCATAATGTCGAAATATAATGGAATGAATACTTCACATACAAAATCTACTTATCCTTTACGAACTGAAATCAATAGAAGACGTAAATCCCCCAATCATGTCACATTAGATAAACCAATGAGTCTATTGCATAATCAACGTGCATCTTTATCGAAATATCAACATACATTTAAAACAAATAGACCAATACATAATAAATTGACTCATCATACTACTACTACTAATACTACTAACAATTATAATACTACTACTCGTCATTTAAAATCATCACAAAATCAACACCAGGCTATTGATAAAAATTATTGTCATTCAATTATTCCTAATGAGAATTTATTAGAATCATTCAATAATAATGAAAATAATTCAAAAGAAACAAATCAAACAATCGTACCACTTCCACCACCAACATCTTCATCAGCATCAAATAATCATAGTAGTCTACTACTATCACGTTCACCATATAAATGTCGTAAATGTAAAGGACATGGTATGTGTGAACCAGTAAGACAACATAAACGTAATTGTCCATATCGTGATTGTTCATGTGATATGTGTTATTTAGTTGAAAAAGGTCGTCGAATTGTAGCACAACAAATTGCATTATTTCGTGATCAAAAAAATCATCATATTCAAAAACTATTGCTATTGTCACAACAAAAAGATCGTTCTATGAAGAATACTGTTATGAAAGAATCATTGGTGAATAATAAAATGAATGAAGATAATGGACCACATTGTCGTCGATGTCGTAATCATGGACAGAATATTTCATGGAAAGGACATAAAAAAACATGTCCTTATAGAGAATGTTATTGTAATCAATGTATATTAATATCATTGCGTAAATCGAATGAAAAGAATTTAAGTGAGTTGAATTCAAAAAATATCTACTTTGGTTAATTTGTATGATATATTGGTGTTATTTGGATTACTGCTGAAAATCAGGTAATCTTAGATAGATGCTTTATCCTGAGACTGGCACTGGAAGCCAGGAGATGCATATTTATAGGTGGTATCTGTTAGGGATGTCTATTTTCTCTATTCTTGGTTAACTTTGTCATAGACATGGTTTTAGAGATAATATTATCTTCGTCTGACTTTAGAAGGGTGAACCTTTTACCAGGAGACACTCTTGCTGACTTGGAATATGCTGATGACATAGTCCTATTCGGTGAAGACGCTGACAAAATGCAGTCTTCCGAACACCTTAAGCAACAATGAAAGAATGTTCGGGATGCGGTTTCCCCCCTCGGAATGCAATATGTTGCCTGAGTATTGGTTACACAGGCACCTGAACTGGTGATATGGAGTGAAGAAGTTGGGCGTATCGATCGCTTCACTTATCTGGTGGGTCTCATCAGTGCTGATGGCCTGGTGTGTGACGTAATCTCAGTACGGATACAGAAGGCTCGATTGGCTTTGGCCAACTCGCGTCACTCATGGCGGAGGTGAGATATCCAAAGGATGAGTCCACTTCACAGCAGTTCGCTCTGTCATACTATATGGATGCGAAACATGGCCCGTAAGAGTTGAGGATATTCGCAGGCTAATATTATTTGATCATAGATGTCTTTGAAGTATTGTTCATGTATTCTGAGACAACCGAGTAAGCAGTGCTGTTGTCAGGAAACGAGTTCTAAGTAGGGATGGCAAATCAATAAATGATGTATTGAAGCTTCATCAGTTGAGGTGGTTGGGACAAATGTTACGAATACCCAACCACCGACTACCTTGACGAGCTGTTTTGTGGTGTAAGAATAAGTCGGAAGAAAGTTAGAGGTGGCTGAAGCACAACATGACAGAAATCCATGAAGTCACTGACAAGTGGATTGAGTCATGTTAGTAGATGTAGACTAAATGGTGGGGGTCCGCGAGACGAAAGTAATCGATGTTTAGAGACCTTGAATGGCATGGCTCGAAATCGTTTGCAATGGCGCAGGTGAATCCACTATTTGAGTTCTCTCAAATTCTATTCTCCTGAATTCATCATAATCTCCATCTTTTCTCTTTCCACAGTTATCTCACTGAATTATACTTCTCGAATCATATCAACGCTCCCTACTCTTGTCGATTACTGCTAATACTTCTATTATCTCTACCACTATTGGATTTGAAATGACAGTTGCATCTCTGTGCTGAGGGGGTATGGCAACTTCAGCTGATGTACTCATGTAGGAAATTCTACGTTGTAACTGACTAACTAAAGGTTTCATTCATCACAGACTGATCTCAGTTAGGGCATCGCTGATGAGCAGGAAGCAATAAACTGCTGTTTCGTTCTGGTATAGGACTTGTCAGCAGTGCACACTCATGAACTCATCCCGGATTGAACCCAAGATCTCATTGCAAACACTTAACCACTGGAACCGATGGGTTGGGTTCGAATGGTACAATTTCAACTTAGCATTTAGTTCACACTCTCATGAAAAAAATGAACGATCTAACCTGGAAGTTCATCTTCACTACTGGGCTGATGTCAAGAAGATGACCCATTGGCAACCAGTTCATATGAGTCTGTGATAAAAGTCAACTTCTTAAACTGATTATCCTTTATAAGTACTCTCTGCTATTAACAGTAGTAATGTGTTCACAAATAGACTGACTTTAGGATGGATTTCTTAAGGCTTCAATAGTGAGTTGTAACTATTGAAGTTCAACGAGTTCCAGAGTAAACTAGCTAATGACAATACATGATTGTTATGAAATATTTCCGTTTGGTTAAATTCGAAAATCTAAATTACAGGATTTCAACTACACGATTCAATAGCAAGATGTTTATACAAAGAAGGATGTTCACTCTCGCATCAGGTCAAATATAGTTAGTGCTAGTAAATTCATCTTAAAAATTAACTTTAAAATGAATTTGCCATTCATTCCATCTGATCGGAATATTTTTAAGTGAGAAAGCAACAGAAATGAAGAGTAGTTCGATCATGGAAGTAAAATTCCATTCAGTAAATTTTTATAATTAAATAAAAAAATTATTCACCAATAGGAACCCTTATCGAAGTACAATGGCAAACGATATTATTCAGTTGCCCAAACCAAATTTGGAGGATTATGGTTCGAAAGTGGTACTTCCTGGTGGCAAGTCGGACACCTTAATCATTAACCTACCATTTCAATGATAAGTAAATAAACTCAAATATAAGCTTCTTTATATTTCATCATACATCAGTAATTTTCAACACCTTCTTTGATACTTCTATGTTTTTTTTTCATTTATTTAGGAGAAGTAACTCAAGAATTTATTGATAATCAATCAGAAAGTGGAGAAAAGAAAACATCACTGAAGCATACTTCTGCCAGTTTCAATGAAAAACAAAAGATTATTAATTCAAACTTCAATTTAACCACTTCAGAAGATAATCGTCATCATCATCATCACAATGCTACATGTAATCCATACTCAAATAACTATTCAGTCACTTCTTATGGTGAAACCTGCAAAGCTCAAGATTTATTTTATCAACCTTCAACGAATAACACATGTATAAATTCATTAATCCATCATTTAGTAAGTTCGTCAGCTACCACAATCTCCGATCCACTCGGTACAATACATAACAGTCAATGTGAAAATAAACAAACTTATTCCTCCACTTCAAATACATTGTCACATTTAAAAACTTGTGAAAATCCTAGTCTTCAACCTTTAATTCCTCGAGAAACATTCAACAACACCACAAAACCGTTTAATTTTCCGGAAAATATCGATTCTTTCAGTTTTCATAAACATGAATTCATTCCCCAAGAGATACCGAATAATACAGAATCTATGCTTCAAAATAATCACAGCTATTTGTCATTATTTCATTGCCCTACTTCATTCATCTCAACAACAAATAGAAATCAAGAAGAATCAAATCATCATACAAGTCAATTAACTGATATTAATTCAACAACACAATCACTTCATCATTCAAATGTCAACATTGAATCTTCATTAATGAAAACAAACTATGAAACAATGATCAATTCAAATGATTCAGATATACCATACTTTTCAACTAATCAATCTGTTGAAAAGAATAAATCCGTATTAGAAACTAAATATAATGAAAATTGTAAAACAGAATATTTCGTAAATAATAATATTAATAATAATACACAAAATGTTTTTCGAAATTTTATCGATTGTGTAAACCCACCGACCAATGATTATTACAAATGTTCAAATGAACAATTTAAAACAACAAACTATTCATATACATCACAACTTAACAATGAATACATTGCTGCTAGTAATGTTTGTCATTTACAAGAATATTATAAATCAACAACAACAACACCATCTAATTCTCGAATATTATCATCAAATACATTTCAAAATACAATGACAGATTATATGCATTATTCTGATGATAAGCATCGAACATATCCTTCGAATTATCTCCTGCCATCTTCAACAAATCTTGATGGGGATACACTAATTCGACCAAACACAAATCATGCTGCTGCCTTAGCTGCAGCGGCAGCTGCCGCTGTTGCATTTCATCATGAAGTAGTCAGTCAACAAAAGCATCAAGAAGACTATTGTCAATTCCATGATGATGATGGCGATAGTCGACTGCAACGACAAAACCTACTCACTACTACCAATAATACTATTACAACTACTAACAATACTATGCATGATAGTAGTAATTATGCGAATCCTATTAAAGAAGAGTTAAATGCTGTAGTAGTTCAACAAGAGTCAATTAATTCACCATTCAAATTCTTAAATATGTCAAATATTTTAAATGATAATGATTATGTTAAACAAAATTATTATTCAAATGATCCGTTATTTATTACATCACCATTGTTACAATCATTTCAAACAAATTATACACAAAAATTGACAAAATCAAATGAACAATGTTTAAATGCTTTGAAAAATCAAACAAATTCATTCAATATTCAAAGTGATTTAAACAAATTTCACAGAAGCTGTAATTCGAATTGTAACAGTTTAATGAATTATCATTCATTGAATTTAAACAGACAACAACAACAGCCATATTCAACTAAAAATACATTGATTCCTCACCATCATCATCATCATCAACATGATACTACTATGAATAATATGAGTAGAAAACAAATATCAACTAAAAAAAATGATCAAATAATTGATTTTATGCAATCTAATCAACAATCATCTCCAGAACAATTAAATCATGTACAAACTATTCATCAACATAATTCTAATGTACATATTAATCAAGAGATTAATAAATTACAAATAATTCATTTGACTAATGCAATTATATTACCATCAAAACAATCTGCTTTAAGACAAATACCATATGAACAAGAGAATAATAAGAATGGATGGTCAACATGTTATCCCGATGTTCGATCCACTTCACTAACACCACCACCACAACAACAACAACAACAGCAAGACAGTGATAGACTATCGAGTGAATGTAATAATCTAATGAAAAATGTTGAATTATCAAGTAATTTATTTAAACATGTAGGGATTATGAAGCATGAGTGATTATTCAAAACTGTTAAAAATATTTTCTTTATAAAAGGTAATTTATATTTATGCGAAATTCATATTGAATAACTTAATTTTAGAATTTGCTTTAAGATTGGGTTGTATCAGCACCTGAACTAGTGATAGTGAGTGAAGTAGTTGAGCGTATTGATCGCTTCACTTATCTAGGGGGGGGAGTTCTCATCAGTGCTGATGGACAGGTGTGTGACGTAATCTCAGCACGGATATACAGAAAGCTCGATTGGTCTTTGCCAACTTGCGTCACTAATGGCGTAAGAAAGATATCCGTTTGCTAACCAAAGGACGAGTTTACTTTACAGTAGTTCGCTCCGTCCTAATTTACGGCTGCGAAAAATGACCCGTAAGAGTTGAGGATATTCGCACGCTATTAGTGTTCGATTATATATGTAACGTGGGACAATCGAGTAAGCAATGCTGTCGTTAGGAAACGAGTACTAGGTAGGGATAGCAAATCAATAGATGAAGTATTGAAACTTCATCAGTTGAGGTGGTTGGGATATGTGTTACGAATTCCTAACCACCGACTGCCTCAACGAGCTATGTTTTGTGGTGTAGGAATAGGTCGGAAGAAAGCTAGGGGTGGCCAAACCAAAACATGTCACAAATCCATGAAGTCACTGACCAGTGGACTGTGTCATGTTGGTAGATGTAGACTACCTGATTGCGGTCCGCAAGACGAAAGTAATCGATGGTTACAGACCTTGAATGAGATGGCTCAAAATCGTTTGTAATGGCGCTGGTGCGTCCACTCTTTCTGTTATCTCAAATTCTAACCTCCTGAATTCCTCATCACCTTTGTCTTTCTCTTTCCAAATTTATCGCACTGAATCATACTTGACTAGTCCTTTGACCTAGTCCATGTATTATTGATTTACTTATGAACGTTTTCTACTTTAAGTTAAATAGAAGTTATCATACAATCAGAATAATATATTTAAAAAAGGTAGAATAAAATTATTTGTACTTTTCATCATAGGGTTGTAAAGATTGTTGAGTTTCATTAAACACCGTTAAATACTAGCTCTCAGTGGTCTAGAGGTTAAGCTTTTGTGCTCGAGACCGGAGGTCATGGGCTCGGTTCCCGAATATGGACGTCGTGGATGTACACTACTGACATACTAAGAAGTAAATGCTTTCTAGTATTCCCAGGTTTCTCTAATTGTGGTCTAACAATGATTGATTCATCATTACAATGAAACTTTTGTAATTCGTTTGAAATTCGTTTACTGATCGTTCCAATTTAACATTTTAATGGAATCTGACCATTTCTAATTGTTGATAATTTTTGAGAGAGTTTTTAAATTTTTTTTTTTGGTGTTACAAAATTCGCCGTAAAGAGGTGATCCCTTTGATTTAAATTTTACAATAAGCTTAGATATCACTACTACTGGTGATGTCAACCTGAATACCATAACTTTTTACGCTACCATTTCAAATAACACAAGTTATTAATACTTAATTTGCATTGATATACATTACGGAAGAGTTTCAAATATCACAAAGTCTGTACACACTATCTATATATCTTTACCTACTATAAGCTTTGATCGCTTAGTTGTTGTTGCATTGAGATTCAGATGCCTGTACTCTGATAAAAATAAGAACATAACTGACATTGTATGGAGGACTTAGATACTCATGCACAAGTTCAGTATACTATATTGCCTCATGTAATTCTTGATAGTAGTTGATTGAATACCTACAGTTGTTATGCTTGAAACTATTATGAGTTCACCTTAGTCCGTAAACGAGAGCTAAGACAATGATCCAGTGACACGATAGGCTACTCTAATCTGTTGCCCCGTCTAACTGAAGAAATAAGTCTTAATATGGTGTAGAAAGTGTATTCTACAAGCAACCAGGGAAATGAGATCGACAAGTACACAAATCGAGTTTATTTATACATCGGAGAAACGTCCTTGTGAGAGCCACAAAAATAGCTTACTGAAATAACACATCAACCAATGACAGCCAAGGATCTTCCGAGTGGGAAATATGACCTCAAGGTCAACCGATCAGCCTATGAATAAAATCTAAAATTAGGACCTTTATCAAATGAGTTCTGGGGATCTAACGTCCCCAATGTGAGGAGCAGCGTATGAGATTATCTCGAAGACGACAGAACAAGAGAAAAAGATGAGCCGACGACTTAGTAAGCACATAGAATGATGTACTTACATGCAATATACGAATAAATAGACAGTAACCAGATATAAAGCCAGAGTGAGCCAGTAAGACAAACTGATAAACGAAACTAGGAGTTGATAGAGTTAGGTTCTTAAATGCGTTACAACTATACTATTTGAAATGTGTACATCAATCTTCAATATTGAATATTCATCAAAATATCTTAAAACAAAAAAACAAAAATATTATTATTTCTTGAATCAACTAAGTTATTGCAAGTGGCATACCTTTTGATCAAGATGATTTGACTAATATTTAGGACAGAATATAAATGACACCTGTTATATTATCATTTATATCGTCATCAGTCTGACCAATCATAATATTAGGTATGATTCATTATTAATGATTGAGAGAAACCAAATTTGACCTTCATAAAATTGCATGAATCAGTGTGTGTGTGTGTGTGTGTGCGTATATGTGTGATACATACATCACTAATTTTACAGTGAAATAAAAAATACAAATGAACTTGTTGGAACATTACATCTGATACATGGACATTAAAATGAATCAGGATTGTGTTTTAACCACAAGGTAACTAACTAACCAACTAACTAACTAACTAACTATTTGCTTTTTTACTTCTATGATAATTAATTAAAGATTATATTTTATTGGTAAACAACACCAAAATTATCTTATCACAAATAACTAATGAATTAATGAATTATGTTGCTACCAGTAATGAATTATTCTTTTCAAGTTCTATCAATACACCTTATATTATGGCGCTCATTACCTTACGGTGTTTTTCGACCACCTGTATTTCACCATATTAAGTTAAATAGTAAAGAATTTTTATAATTAAAAAATAGAAAAATAAAATAATAATACAAATTAATAATTGTAATATTTTGTCCAAATAACAAGTACAAATTATATTTGACTTAGATTGTGAAAAAATCACCAATGAAGGGGTATACCGCTTAGATGAATGCTTTTTGATAGTAGTATTGTGTTTTTAACAAAAAATTGAATAGTTCAATTATAAAGTGTATGAGGTTGCGTAACTCCGTGAATTTGATCAAGTTAGACATTAACACGGTTAGGGCGTTCGCGCACCAAACCGAAGGTCCTGGGTTCGAATCCTGTGGGGTGCAGGAGTCGTGGATGCACACTGCTGAGGAGCCCATGCCAGGACGAAACAGCCGTCCAGTGCTTGCAGGTTTCTAATGGTGTGGTCTAACACTGGTCGATTCATGGTTTCATAAGTGTTTTGATTAAATAAAATATCTTCAATATCTACATTAATTTTACAATGAAATGTGTGTTGACGATGCGATTTTACAATAAATCCCAAATAACAATTTGAATTTCAAAGTATATTTGATAGCCATTATTAAACAATCGTGCAAACTATTGATTACTTACGCTTGTCACCCCCGCTTGAGCATAGGTCACCCACCAGTTTTCTCCAACCAACTCTGTCCTGGGCTTCCCTCTCCAGTTCTGTCCGATTTTTGTTCATTCTTCTCATATCTTTATTTCTCGGTGTAATGTGTTCCTTGGCATTCCTCTTTTCCTTTTACATTGAGGGTTCTAAGTGAGGGTTTGTCTTGTGACGCAGTTGGGTAGTTTTCGCAGTGTGACCTATCCACTTCCACCACTTCTTCCTGATTTCCTCCTCCACTGGAATCTGGTTTGTTCTCTCCAACAGTGCGTTGTTGCTGATGGTGTCTATCCAATGAATCTGAAGACAACTGTTAATGAATACTTGTATCTTCTGGATGATGGCTTTCGTAATTCTCCAAGTTTCCGCTCCATACAGTAGAACTGTCTTGACATTTGTATAGAAAATTCTGATTTTGGTGTTTGTTGACAGTTTTTTCGAGTTGCAGATGTTTTTCAATTGTAGAAATGCAGCCCTTGCTTTGCCAATCCGCACCTATATCAGTTCCTCTCTTGGTTCTCACATCCTCCATGGTCCTTCTGGATTTTTTATTGATACAGATATGGTCGATTTGGTTCTGAGTAGTGTGATTCGGTGAAATCCATGTGGCTTTGTATATGCGTTTGTAAGGGAATATTATGCAGCTGATGATCAGTTTTTTGAAGGCACATAGGTTTGAAAATCTCTCACTGTCTTCGTTCCTTTCTCGCTGTCCATGTCCATGTCCCATGTTGTCTTCATATAGAGTGTTTTCCATGCCAACCTGGGCATTTAGGTCTCCCATCAGAATCGTCAAATACTTTGGTGAGCATCTGTTGACGATTGATTGCAGCTTCTTGTAGAATTGACCTTTAACGTCGTCATTGTAGTCGTTGGTAGGTGCGTAGCATGGGATGGCATTCATTGTAATTGTTATGCTCGTCAATTGATATGCTTGAAACTATTACGAGTTCACCTTAGTCGGTAAATCAGAGCGAAGACAAATGATTCGGTGACACGATAGGCTACTGTAATCCAAGCGTCCCAAGGCCCCACTAAGTAGAGGAAGAAGTCTTGATATGGCGTAGAAAGTGTATTCTACAAGCACCCAGAAAATATGAGGTCTACAAGCACATAAACGGAGTTTATTTATACATGATAGAAACGTCCTTAGGAGAGCCACAAAAATAGCGTACTGAAATAATACATTAACCAATAACAGTTAAGGATTTTCTCAAGTGGGAAATATAATCCCAAGGTCAACTGATCAGTCTGTGAGCTAAAACATAAAATCCAAAATTAGGGCATTTATCAAGTGAGTTCTGAGGATCTAACGTCCCCAACAACAATGTCCTTCTTATTTATTTTGAAAGATGCTTTAATAATCTTGGTTCCATGAGATTCCCATCCTAACAGT